TAAAAAAAAAAAAAAAAAAAGTCCTTTGGGTTCCACCTACTCACAGGTAGAGTTTCAAAATTCTATTGAAGGGTTTCTAAATAGATTTTAAAACAAACTTGACAAGCTCATTATTTGGAATGTAATAAAGAGGTTATATTCTTTAACTGAGAATAAATAGCAAAGCTACAACTGGGGACAGTAACCTCTTGAGATGGGAAGATGGGAACAGAATGAGCCTTAGTTTTCACTGTAGGGACTGATATGCTGTGGTTCTGCGTGCACACATGACTTATTCCACAGTAAATGAAAACCTTTAAAGCCAGAGTAGTTTAAAAAATCATCTAAAAATTGCACAAGAATACCAGAGAACATTTTGATAGAGAAGACCCATGACCAGGCAGGGAACTGTGGCTCATCCCTATAAACTCAGGACTTTGGGAGGCTGAGGCAGGAGGATGAGTTAAGCCCGGAGTTCAAGACCATCATGGGCAACACAGCGAGACCCCATCTCTAAAAAAACTTTAAAAAGTAGCTAGATACGGTGATGCACACATGTGGTCCCAGCTACACAGGAGGCTGAGGTGGCAGGATCACTGGAGCCCATGAGATCAAGGCTGCAGTGAGCCATGGTTGCACCACCACTGCACTTCAGCCTGGGTGACAGAGCAAGACCTTGTCTCACACTCAGAAAGAGCCATGCCTGGTAATTACCAAAATATATTATAAGCTTGGCTTGAGTTTCTCCCAAAGCAGAGCTTGAGACAAGGATTTGGGTACAAGTAGCTTATCAGGGAGGAGATTCCAAGAAGCACCGGCAGGGGATGGGAAAAATGAAGAGACGTTGGTAGGAAAAGGAAGGAACCCAATACAGAGGCACCAGTGAGCTTATTATGACTGAAATTGCAACTGGGCTCAATTCCCCTGAAGCCTCTGGGAATTGACGTAGAACAAGCCTTACAGTTCCTCTGCCCGTTGAAGGTCAACTCTAAGTAAGATGGAAATTGCAAGCTGTTTATGAAGGACCATCTTTGAGGTCAACATCAGTAGAAGGGAAGTGAATTTTATGGGGTCTTATTTACACCAAAAAAGTTCTCTAACACTAGCTTCCTGGAGTTAGCACCACATTCCACAAGTTAAAGGGCTAGGTCCCCAAAGATTGACCCTACTTCAGACACCAGGTGCAAAGACAGTGGCTTTGCACTGTCTATCCACACTTCTGCCAGGCTGGCAAAAAATTGGGGGTTCCCCCAAGTCCCTCTCAGGTTCAGTAATTTCCTAGAATGATTTAGAGAACTCAGAAAAACATTATTCTTAGGTTACTGAACTAAATTGCTCAGTTTGCCTGCTCACAGTGGAAAACCAAACACTGAACCATTGGGGTTTTGTAGAGAGAAAAATTTATTGCAAGGCAGCCAAGCACAGAGACAGGTGTCTGGCCCTTATCTGTCTCTCCAAGCTGGGAGCTGGGGCAGCTTTTATACACAGAGGGTAGTGAGGTGTGATCTGATTGGATCTTGTAATGAGGGGATTCAGGAGGCTTGATCTGATTGGATCACACCATGGAGTGATGCCAGGGCTCAATCTGATTGGATCACAGATCATGCCAGGTGATACCCGCTTCTTAACTCAGTCCCTGTTGCTTGGTCTGAGCATGTAGGTTCTAACTGGATTTTCACATTTAGTTCAAATCTGGGCATGCTCAGGGTAGTAACTTGCTACCTGGGGGTCCATGGCAACTGAAAAACAACTTGCCATTTTATTACACAAAGTTGAACCAGACTGGGCTGGATCTGCGGTTAGTGTTTACCAGTTTATTATAAAAGTGTACAACTGGAGGGATGGGGTGGTGCCAGCAAGATGGCTGCACCCAAGAAGATGATATTTCCAGAGAAACCAAGCCACAAAAAGTACAGGGCTGCCCTGAAGGAGGAGAAACCAAAGAAATACTGGCAGGGACTTGTTGACTGAGAGATTCAGGACTCTCACAGTCCGAGAGAAGGGGGAAGGAGGGGGAGAGGGAGAAGGGGGAGGGGAGGAAGGGGGGGAGGGGGAGGGGAGGAGGAGGGGAGACTGAAGGAGGGAGGAGGAGACTTTTATTGAAGAACAACAACTACAAGAGAAACTATTGGAAAGGGAGAGGCAAAGATTACATGAGAGAAAAGTTGCTGAGAAGGCAGGAAGCACAAGAAGAATTCAGAATAAAGAAGGAAACGGAAGAGGTGGCTAGAAAACAGCAAGAAGAACAAGAGAGAAAGTTAAAGGAACAATGGAAAGAACAGCAGAGGAAGAGAGAGAAGAGCAGGAGCAGAAATGACAGGAGAAGAAAGAAAAACAGAAGCTGTGCAGAAGATGCTGGGTCAGGCTGAAAATGAGTTGGAAAATGGCTCCACATGGCAAAATCCAAAATCACCCGCGAATTTCAGAGTAAGGGAGAAGGACGGAGCTAATTGTCCCTTCTAGAGTAAAACAGGAGCTTGCAGATTTGGAGATGGATGTTCACGTAAACATAATTTCCCAACACCCAGCCCCGCCATCATCATTATTATTATTGAGATGGAGCTTTGCTCTTGTTGCCCAGGCTGGAGCACAATGGCACGATCTCAACTCCCCACAACCTCTGCCTCCCAGGTTCGAGCGACTCTCCTGCCTCAGTCTCCCGAGTAGCTGGGATTACAGGCATGCACCACCATGCCCTGGGAGTTTGTATTTTTAGTAGAGATGGGGTTTCCCATGTTAATCAGGCTGATCTCGAATTCCTGACCTCAGGTGATCCACCCACCTCGGCCTCCCAAAGTGCTGCTTCCCTTCTTATTGAGAGCATGTTTACAATGTTTGGGATGGAGCAGTGCAGGAGGGATGACTATGACCCTGATGCCAGCCTGGAGGACAGCGAGGAAGAAACCTACCCACAATTTCTAGATTTCTATGAGGATGTGCTGCCCGAGTTCAAGAACGTGGGGAGAGCGATTCAGCTCAGGGTCAGCTGCAACTTGAAACCTCACCTAAGGGGCAATGTTTATGTTCGCTACCAGTTGGAAGCAGAATAACAAGCAGCCCTTTCTCCGTTTAACGGACGATGGTATACAGGACCACAGCTTCAGTGTGAATTCTGCCCAGTGACCCGGTGAAAAACGGTGATTTGTAGTTTGTTTGAAAAACAACAACATCCAACAGGAAAACACTGCAACTTTCTCCTTGTGTTCAGAAATCCCATCAATGAATTCTGGGAAGTGAATAGAGACATCTGCTTGTCTCCAGATCGCACTGGCTCCTCCTTTGGCAAGAACTCCGAGAGGAAGGAGAGGATGGGCCACCACAACGAATACCACAGCAGGCAGTGGGGAAGGAGAAACCCTAGTTCAGGCCACTCCTGCAAAAGAAATGGGGAATCCAAGAGGAAAAGGAGTAGTCCAGGGAAGAAATCTCACAAGCACACACCAAAGAGTCAGGAGAGGCACAGTTCACAAAGTAGAGGAAGAAATAGGCACCACAGCAGGGCCGGGGCAACTGGAGCCAGACCCAAAGTTCCTCTAGGTCCCGAAGTCGTGGCAGGAGGAGGTCAGGTCGTAGAGTCAGAACTGTTTAGACTCCCAGATCCAAATAAACCTGTTTTATTCTTTAAAAAAATAATAGACCAGGCATAGTGGCTCACACCTGTAATCCCAACACTTTGGGAGGCCGAGGTGGGCAGATCACCTGAGGTCAGGAGTTCGAGACCAGCCTGACCAACTGGGAGAAACACCATCTCTACTAAAAATACAAAAAATTATCTGGGTGTGGTGGTACATGCCTGTAGTCCCAGCTCCTGGGGAGGCTGAGGCAGGAGAATCACTTGAACCTGGGAGGCAGAGGTTGTGGTGAGCCGAGATTTTGCCATGGCACTCCAGCCTGGGCAACAAGAGTGAAACTCTGTCTCAAAAAATAATGATAATATTAATAAAGGCTACAACTTAGAAACAGCCCAATGGAAGCCATGTATAGGACAAAAGAAGATGTGGGAGGTGGAAGGGATTACATGGAGCCTCCATGCCCTCTTGGGGTGCCATTGGTAGATGGGGAATTAATTCCCTGGTGTTTCCAGCCTGTAAAATGAGCATTTGCAACCAGTAAGTCCCAGTCAAAGGGGTGCAGGAGGTGGTAGGTGAAAGTTGAACAGAGGGTAGGTTGCGTGTATGAGATAATGCCCCAGGGGACACGGAAACTACACCCATTCTCTCTAAAAGGAAGAGAGAGCAGATTCATGGAACACAAGCCCACCCCCCAAAGGCATCCCACAACAGCTCATTCATAAAGCTCCAAGGATGGGCCAGAAAAACAAGCTTACACCAGGGGAAACTGGAAGCATGACAAGGACAGAATGGGACCCAGCCTTCTAAAGGAGGATGAATCTGACAGAGAACAGTCCCAGAGATTTTGTGAAGGTCCAAGGATGGAGACAAGGAACTGTAGCTTCAAAGTGCATGTCCACCCAAATTTACTCATAACTGGGCTTAATGTATTGGATCCAGATCCAGCCATTTCCTAATTGCTGGTCACACACATCTCCTTTTAGCTCTGCACTGAGTGACATCACATTGATGTTTGAAATCAGCCACAGTGGGAATATTTACACCAGGGTAATGGGCAAACACAACACATCAGGACTTTCTCCCCCAGAGAGCTGGGTGAAATTCTGCTACCCAGCATGGGGGTTTGAGGTGGTAGGGGCTCAGGAGAGAAGCCTTTCTTCATCCCTGGAGCAGGAGGCTGCGGACTTTTTGCAGATCCAGAATTTGGCGGCACTACATCTGTCGTCGTTCCAGCCGTTGCCGTTAAATTCTGCACAGTCTTCCTCCCCGATATTGTTGGGCTCTCCTTGGTTCCAATACCGCCTGAGGCTGCAAAGCCCATGTGGAATGTGAGCCTCTGCCCCCGCCTACTATATGAGCTGTGTTTCTACCTTCCGTAATCTGTGATCTTGATGCTTCAACATTGGCCCTGCCTGTGTATGCTGGCCGTGAATTGCTCTGCACTCCCTATAATATGCCTGAGTGCCTTGATTCCTGCCTCTCTTGTCACAACCTGTCCTTGGGCGGACTCCACTACTGAGGGTGTGATTTTCAAATACAAACCAACCAACCTGGAGTCCACACCCCCAACCACCTGCCTTATCGGGCTCTTGTACTCCAAGCCACTATCCTATGCTAATCACGCCAAGCCCCGGTGGCAGGCAGCCCCTATGCCCCTGAGCCCAAAAAATGCATCGTACTTGCCAATCCTAAGCCTCCTTGCCTGACCTTGACCTTTCCTTTGCGTGCAAACCATAATAAAGGCTCTGGCCCACAGTCCCCCCTCCCCATCACTCTGCTTCATAACAGATCCTGTTGCTTCCCCAGGAGGCGTCCAGCTGTAATGTGTTCTCTCTCTCTAGGGAGCTGTGAATATGAGAAGCTACTCACAATAGCAATTATCTCCTAAGCTGGTGGCCTTACTAGACCTCAGACTTCCTATTAATACACTATATTTTAACACACTCACCCTCGAGGCAGGCTCCTCCTGCAGCTGTGCAGGTGGAATTTTAGGTCTCTGCCATGCTGTCTGCAGATGGGTATGAAGACCACCTTCCTCAACTCAGTAATAACCCCAGATTCTTGGGTCTAAGGTATCAGGGAGTGGGGGAGGGTCCCCAGGGAAAATTCAAGTAGGGTTTCAGGACCCCAGTCCCACAGGATAGGATGTCCCCTTCTCCTGGGATCTACCTGGATGACAGAGGTGAGCCATCCACCCACTGCCATGTGCCTTCCTGCTTTAGGTCTGAAAGTCCTATCCAGGTGAAGCGGTTACTTCTGGAAGACTGCAGCTGTAGGAAGTTCTGGAGGGTAGAGGAGGAGTCAGGAGGGAGTTCTGCTTCCCACTTTCCAGGCTCCACCTCCCCATTTCTTGGCAGGAAGTTCTGCTTGTAGGCTAACCTTCAGCCTTCCTGTATCCTGGGTCCTAAGTGCCCCCCCATGTCTGAGTCTCTCACATGTGTCTCCCACAACACATGTGTCCTGACATGCAGGCATCCATGCACAGCAGGCCTCTCCTCACACACTCTTGCTAATCCTGCCTGTCCATCCATTTCACACGTTCCATGAAGGCCCACACAAATTTACTCATAACTGGGCTTAATAATGTATTGGAGCCAGATCCAACCATTTCCTAATTGCTGGTCAGGATCATCTCCTTTCAGCTCTGCATGGACTGACATCACACTGATGTTTGAAATTAGCCACAGTGGGAATATTTACACCAGGGAAGTTGGCAAACATGACACATCAGGACTTTTCCCCCCAGAGAGCTGGTTGTTAAACACTTGCAGCACGCCACTGGGGTTTGCTTACATTTGATGTTTTGTTTTTTTGAGATGGAGTTTCACTCTTATCGCCCAGGCTGGAGTGCAATGACACAATCTCAGCTCACTGCAACTTCCACCTCCCAGGTTCAAGTAATCTACCAGCCTGAGCCTCCCAAAGTGCTGGAATTACAGGCGTGAGCCACTGTACCCCGCCACATTTGATGTTTTTTCCACATGTTCAGTCTGGTTTGTATCTGCTCTAAGGGTGCTTGGGACGCCCTCATTCATATCCTTCTCCTCCCATCTTTCCAAGTGGAGCAAAGCCCCTCTTCTGCAAAATCCTCTCTGAGAATCTCCTCTCTGGTTGGCCAGAAGCTATGCCCCAGGCAGGCCAGGCCAGGCCAGGGACCCCACCAGGTGTACCTGCTCCTCATCACTTTCGATTATGACGAGCTGGGCTCCTACTTCCTGGCAGGCGGTGACGGAGTCGTGCCAGTTGCGCTGGGAGTTAGACATGAAGTAACAGTTTCCTTGGAAAAATGTCCATTCCCAGGGACAGGGGCGGCACAGGCGTTCTGTTGGGGAAGGCTGGTCGGATCAAGTTGCCCATATTCCTGTATCTGCCCAACCTTCAAGCCCTTGAGAATCAGAGCCCTTCCTTGACTGTTCATGCTGGGTGGACCATTTCCCTCCCCACTTCCTGAGTCCCTCCCCCATCCTCATGAGAACGCAGGAGTCCCGGCCCCATCTCCTCCAGACTAGGAGAAGTAGGGGCTTTAGAGCGCCGAACAGAAGGCAGGGGACAGGCTTAACTGAGTAGCTACTGTGTACCTGGCCCACTGTGAACACGGAGTGCAATGATCACAGTTACCCTGTGTTCTCATTGCACAGATGAGGAAACTGAGGCTCAGACGGGGTCGGTGACTCAAGCAAACTCACACCACACAATGACCATTTCAGGCCCAAGGATCCCTGGTTCCAGGAACTCACCCACCACAGCCTTCAGCTGGGTCAGTTCCTGGTAGATCTCTTGTTGCTTGGATTTCTCTGGGAGCTTAACCACTGCAGCGTTCAACTCAGTCAGCTTCTGGTAGATCTGTTGCTGGGACCTGTCTGGCAACTCACTTACTGCAGCCTTCAGCTGCGACAGTTCCTGGTAGATCTCCTGTTGCTGGGACCTGTCTGGCAACTCACTTACTGCAGCCTTCAGCCGTGTCAGCTCCTGGTAGATTTCCTGTTGCTTAGACCGCTCCGGCAACTCACCCACGGCAGCCTTCAGTTGGGTCAGCTCCTGGTAGATTTCCTGCTGCTTGGATTTCTCTGGGAGCTCACCCAGTGCGGCCTTCAGCCAGATCAGCTCCTGGTAGACCTCCTGTTGCTTGGATTTCTCTGGGAGCTCACCCACTACAGCCGTCAGCTGGGTCAGTTCCTGGTAGATATCCTCTTGCTTGGATTGTCCCTGACTTATGGAGCTGGGGACCTTGGACACTGGGCCAAGAAGAAAAGGAAGAACTGCAATTATTAAACACCTACTGTGTGCCAAGCCCTGAACTGACCCCCATAGGGACATCATTTGTGAGAGCCAAGGTCTTGTTTAATCCCCTTTGAAGAGGAGGAAAACTGACACCCAGAGAAGGCAGCACAGAAGGCCAAGGAGAGCCAGGTTCTTTCCCTCCTCCCCCTCCTCCTCCTCCTCCCTCTCCTCTCCTGCTCTAGGGTGGGGAGGGGCTGTGGGAGAGGCCCCTGCAAACCCCAAGGGACAACATCTTGGCTCTCAGCCCCACCTCCCTCATAGACCTGGCCACTCCAGGCTCTGTTCACAGCCAAAAGGCCAGGCCTGGGGACCTCAGACCTCAGAACCTGCCCCTGACCTTGGACAAGGATGGCCACCAGGAGCCCAGCCAAGAGTGTGAAGGAGAGGAGTTGCAGCGCCAGGGGGCCATGACCAAGACACCCTGAGAGAGGATACGTGCATCAGCCTGCCAGTGTCCCCAGCTGTGCCTGGCCCGGGGAGAGCCTGGCCTAAATCCCTCAGCACCCCAGGACCCAGGAACCCAGTCCCCAGCCTCCCCCTCCCCAAGTTCCAGGAGCTTAGGTCCAAGCCCCCACCTCCCCCGGTCCCAGGAACCCAGGTACCAGCTTCCACCTCCCCAGGACCCAGGAATCCAGGCCTCACCCTCTAAATCCCCAGGTCTCAGGAACCCAGCCCCCAGCCCCCACCTCCCCAGGACCCAGGAACACAGGCCCCAGTCTCCCCTTCCACAGGTCCCAGTAACCCAGATACCTGCTCCCACCTCCCCAGGTCCCAAGAATCCGGGTCTCAGCCCCTACATCCCCAGGTCCCAGGAATCAAGGCCCAAGCCCCTACCTCCCTAGGACCCAGAAGTCCAGGCCCAAGCCCCCACCTCCCCAGGACCCAGGAGTCCAGGCCCAAGCCCCCACCTCCCCAGGACCCAGGAGTCCAGGCCCCTGCCCTCACCTTTCCAGGACCCTGGAACCCAGTCTCCAACTTCTATCTCACCAGAACCCAGGAGCCTTGGCCCCAGCCTCCACCTTCCCAGGGACCAGGAATTCAGGCCCCAAGCCCCACATTCCCAGGACCCAGGAGTCCGGGAGTCTCTGTTCTCTCCTCCCTGCCTACTAACTCCTCTCTACCTGTTAAGCTCTTGTAGACTCGAGTCTGTCGGAATCCAAGGCCTCTCAGCTGTTCCTCCTCTGAATGGATAGACATGAACTCAGAGCCTAGGCAGGCTGAGACCAGGGCTGACCATCCCTTCCCACTTCCCAGAATCCCAGTGTCCCAACCCAGCCTCACCCAGGAAGCCCATCTTCTGTAATCTTGGTTCCTGGGACTCACTCATGTTGCCCCAGAGTCCCCCAGTGTCCCCCAGTGTCCAGAACTGCTGGGGACCACAGCTTTTATTTCCCACCCTGTGATCTTGACTTCCTAAATCTACTCTCCCACAGGAAGAAAAACAGGAAGTCGGGTAGGGACCTATCACCCAAAAGGCTAGTGGAAGGGGTCAGGACATGAGATGGGCTGGATCATTCAAGAATTTTGGGGAGGGGATGGGAGATGGTCTCTGGTTGACAGGGAGAAGGGCCCATCCACTCATGGCATGGCTGAGCAGTAGGATGCTTTTAATGAAATCTGATAAATTCTAAGAGAAAGCTAATTTGTTATACCCCCTCCACCTAGGACAAGGGTGGGCAGGTAGCACCCCCAGTTCCTGGAAGCACTGTCCCTTGTGACCTCCTGGCTTTCCTGCCTTGGGCTGCTGCTGTCTTCATTTTTGGGGATTCCTGCTGACTTTGGGAGTTGGGGCCAAATCGTAATTGCTTATTTAATGCCTAGGATAGTCAGGTACTTTTCCAACAGCTTTATAAACTCATTCATTTAATCTTCCTGCTGTTCAGTAGATCATATGACCTCCATTGCGTAGATGGGGAAACTGAGGAGGCACTGCAAGGCTAGATAACTTGCCCAAGGTCACACTGCTGGTAAATGGTGGAATCGAGACTTTAACCCAGACAGTCTGCCTCCACAGTGCACACTTTTAACCAAAGACTGAAATAGTATCAAAGAGGAAAGAAAAGATTCATAGCAGCTTTATTTAGAATAATCTGAAATTGGAACAACCCCTTTGCCCACCAGTAGGTGAATGATAAAAAATGTAATGGCATATTCAGAGATTGGAATACTATACAGCAATAAAAAAGCAAAGTACTGATACATTTAATAACGTATATGAATCTCACAAAACAGTGAAAGGACCCAGACAGAGTGAGTACATACTCTAAGATTTGATTTTATATGAATTTTGAGAGCAGGCAGAACAAACCTTTGAAGGAGACTCAAAATGGGAATTATCTGGAAGGAGCAGGTGGGGGTTGACAAGGGAGTGTCTGTATTCTGGAAATGTTCTATATTTTGATCATAGAGCTATGCCTTTAACCACATATGTGTTAAATCTCAATTTAAAGACAGAAAATACATATGTGCATCATAATCATATAGTGGTTTTGATCTGATTTTTACTTTGTATTTTTTAAATTTTTTATTTTAGAATAATTTTGGATTTATAGAAAAGTTGCAAATGTAGGAAAGAGATTTCCCATACGTTAATCCCTAACCTAGGGATCCCTAATGTGAATCCAGTTTCTCCTAATGGTAACATTGTGCATGGTAATGAGGTAGGGGACAGGCAAATGTGTTTTCTAGTCACAACCCTGCAGACCATACAGAATCTGGTCCAGATGAGTGATGTGAAGAAACCAGCAGGAACCAGCAGATGGCAACAAAAGTGATCCCTGGCTGCCTCATTGCTCACTGGCATAGGATGCTCCCATCAGTGCCATGACGATTTACCAATGCCATGGCAATTACCCAGAAGTTACCACCTCTTTCCCTGGAAACAACCTGAAAGTCGCTGCCTTTTTCCTAGAAACTTCTAAAGAAACTGTCCCTCAATTTGCATGGACCCACTCCTTAATTGACATATAACTGAAAGTGGGTTGACATGAGTATAAACACAATTGCCAAAAGCTTGTATGTTGTTGACTCTGGGTGCACTGCCTAAGAGTTAGCCTTGCTTCACAAGGAGCAATACCATTAAATAAAAAATCTCTGTCTGACATCACTGGCTCACCCTTGAATTCTTCTTGAGTGAAGCCAAGAACCCTCCCAGGCTAAATCCCAATTTTGGGTTCACCTGTCCTGCCACATTTGGCGACCATGAAGGGATAAAGACGATGAGCAAAAGGCAGTGACTGATGCAGCACTACTGGCGGTAATTGGCAGTGAGATGGTGAGACAGTGGTGATCACTGCAGAATTAGACAGCAGAGTCAATGGCAACTGGTGATGGGTAGAGAGGTGAATGAGCAAGAGATGGCAAGACAGCAAGATGGCAACTGGTAAGGCAGAAAGAGGTGGCAGTTGGTGATTGGTGGTCAATGGGACAGAGAGGTGGTGATTGGAGAGTGATGGAGAGGTGGCAATCAAAGAAAGACAGACAAGTGGTGTATTAGTATGTTTTCACACTGCTGATAAAGACATACTTGACACTGGGCACTTTATAAGAAAAAGAGGTTTAATGGACTCACAGTTTGACATAGGGAGGCCTCACAGTCATGGTGGAAGGCAAAAGGTAAGTCTTACATAGCAGCAGACAAGAGGGAATGAGAGAGGCAGGTGAAAGGGGTTTCCCCTTATAAAACCTTCAGGTCAGCCAGGCATGGTGGCTCACGCCTGTAATCCCAGCACTTTGGGAGGCCAAGGTAGGTGGATCACCTGAGGTCGGGAATTTGAGACCAGCCTGACCAACATGGAGAAACCCCATCTCTACTAAAAATACAAAACGTTAGCTGGGTGTGCTGGCACATGCCTGTAATCCCAGCTACTTGGGAGGCTGAGGCAGGAGAATTGCTTGAACCCAGGAGGCGGAGGTTTCAGTGAGCTGAAATCGTGACATTGCACTCCAGCCTGGGCAATAAGGGGAAACTCTGTCTTAAAAAAAGAAAAGGAAAGAAAGGAAGAAAGGAAGGAAGGAAGGAAGGAAGGAAGGAAGAAAAAAGAAGGAAAGAAGAAGAAGAAAGGAAGGAAGGAAAGAGAGAGAGAAAGAAAGGAGGAAGGAAGGGAGAGGAGGGGGAAGGGGGAAGGGAGAAGGGGGAGGAGGAGGGGAGGGGAGGGGAGGAAACCGTCAGGTCTCGTGAGATTTATTCTCTACCCTGAGAACAGTATGGAGGAAACCACCCCCATGATTCAAATATCTCCCACTGAGTCCCTTTATGGGAGCTAATATTCAAGATGAGATTTGGGTAGGGACACAGCCAAACCATATGAGGTGGTGATGAGCAGTCAGCAGGATGATGATTGGTGAGACAGAGAGGCAGCAATTAATGAGAGACAGCAAGAGAGCCATCAGCACTACGGTGATCAAAACTGCAGAGCCGTAACGCTAGTCAAGGACTCTTTTAGGAACTATCATCTTCCCTCGCAGGCAATGGAGCTGAGCAGATGAACCTGCAGCCATAGCACCATCATGTAATGTGGGACCCTCCACTTTGACCAGCAGGCCAGTAGGTTTCTGGTCCCCACACTGGTCCCCTGTGACAGCTGAGTTGGCCCAAGCTGGGAAACCTGGGGACCTGGCCTTGGAGGAAGCCCCAAGTTGGAGACCAGTCAGTGTACCATTCTGGCTCTGGTAGACAGGTGAGTGTCCACTCTGCGCGCACTCCACAATATTGGGTGAGCGGAAATAAGACTTTTGGCTAGATAGTCAATTCAAAGTCTCCCATAGCACATCTGACCAACTTCGTTCTTAGCACCCCTTTTCTTGGTCCTTTCTCCTCTAATGTCATTTTATTTTTCCATCAGCCATTTTATTATTCTATTTTATCCTGAAATGTATCAGGATTTTGTTTACAGTTTTAGTTTTTTTGTTTTTGTTTGTTTGTTTTGAGACAGAGTCTCGCTCTGTCACCCAGGCTGGAGTGCAGTGGCATGATCTCAACTCACTGCAGCCTTTGCCTCCTGGGTTCAAGTCAACACGTCTGGCTAATTTTTGTATTTTTAGTAGAGACAGTTTTCCCATGTTTACCAGGCTGCTCTCAAACCCCTGACCTCAAGTGATCTACCTCCCTCGGCCTCCCAAAGTGCTGGGACTACAGGCATGAGCCACTGTTCCCACTCTTGTTTACAGTTTTTGCTATGACTCCTGGTGAACTGTATGTGGACAGTTGTTTAAGACAGAACCTTTGGCTGTGAGACGTCCAGGGATTTATCCATTTCCTCCAGGTCTTCTAATTTGGTTGGATATAGTTGTTCATAATAGTCTCTGATGATTCTTTTTCTGTGCATTTCTGTGGTTTATCTCCTTTATGTTTCCAATTTTGTTTATTTGGGGCTTTTCTCTTTTTTTCTTGGTTAGTCTAGATAGTGGTTTTTCCATTTTGATTATCTTTCAAAAAAAAAAAAAAACAACTTTTCATGTCATTGATGCTTTGTGTGTGAGTGTGTGTGTGTGTGTGTGTGTGTGTGTGTTTGTCTTTATTTCATTTAGTTCTATTGTGATATGTGTTATTTCCTTCCATCTAATTTTGGGTTTGGTTTCACATTTCTAGTTCCTTGAGGTGTAGTCCTAGGTTATTTATTTGAAATCTTTCTACTTTTTTGATGTAGGCATTTTGTTTGCTTTCCATTTTTTTGTTTTTAAGATGGGGTCTTGCTATGTTGCCTAGGCTGGTCTTGAACTCCTGAGCTCAAGCAATCCTCCCACCTTAGCCTCCCAAAGGGATTACAAGCATGAGCCACTGTGCCTGGCTCTGATGTAGGCATTTATTGCTATAAACTTTTTTTTAGCATTACTTTTGTTGTATCCCATAGGTTTTGGTATGCTCTGTTTCCAGTTTGATTTGTTTCAAGAAATTTTTAAATTTATTTCTTAAGGTCTTCACTGAGCCAGTGGTTGTTCAAGAGCATATTGTTTAATTTCCATGTATTTGTACAGCAGCACGAGAATGAACTAATATAGTATTCTTGCCTGACAGCTTTTTTCTTTCAGCGCTCTGAATATATCATCCCATTCTCTCCTGGCCTTTAAGTTTTCTGCTGTGAAGTCTATTGTTAGTCTGATAGGGGGTTTCTTGTATGTGACTAGATGCTTTTCTCTGGCTGTTTTTAGAATTATTTCTTTGTCTTTGATTTTTGACAGTTTGACTATAATATGCCTTAGAGAAGCCTTTTTGGCTTGTATCTACTTGGAATTCTCTGAGCATCCTATATTTGGATGTCTAAATCTCTTCCTAGGCTTGAGAAGTTTTCAGTTATTGTTATTTTTTTTTCAGTTCTTTTGTTCAATAGGTGTTCTATGCCTTTTCCCTCTGATACACCCAAAATTTAAATATTTGGTCACTT